GGCATTTCCACCAGTCCTGAAGGCGTTCCCTGGGTTTCTGCCCCCCATGCTGTGCAGTCCACCCTCCTCTTTTTGTCCCTCCGAAAGCAGGCACGCAACTCATCCTCCTGGAGTGCTGTCTGGGGAAGGAGAGCCTCTGCCAGCCCCTTCCTGTTCCTTTGAATGGGAGCTTCCAGGATGCAGCTGAAATGGGTGAATTGAAGGAAGTGAGAGAAGGGTCCCAAGGGGGAGTCACAACAAGGCTGGTGGAAAGCTAAATTCAGGTGAGAGAGGGCTCAGGATGAGCTGTCCCCAAGCTCCAAAATGTTCCCATCCTGGCTGTTCCTTTGGTTTGGGAAAGGCCCACCTCCTAATGGGTGCTACAGCTACCACTAATTATACCTAGTTTTTATCTAGTGCTCTTCATCAGTCGATCTCAAAGTGCTTTACAAAGGAGGTCCGTCCCTTTTTACAGGTGGGGAAATTGAGGCACAGCAAGGGAACACAACTTGCCCAAGGTCACCCTGCAGAGCTGGGAATAGAACCTGGGTTTCTGCTTTATCCATAGTCTATTCTCTAAATTGTCTGCCTCCATAATTCTCTCTACCCTGCAGGCTTCACAAGGTACACCCGTCACAACAGCAATATCAATGCCCCTCTGCTATGCTGTAGCAGATATCTGGGTCCTCCAGCTGATTTTCCTGTTGGAGGAGAAATCAGTGATATGGAGCCAGGGTATTTTCTTAGTGGAACTTGTTTATTTACACTATATACACCAGTCCTGGAACAGAGATGGTCACAAGCAGCATGCAAGCAATCCCCTCTCTCAAGAATCTCAGCCCAAACACCGATGCCCAGTTCCCAGGGAGAACTCAGTCCTGAGAACTGACTCTAGTTAGAGAGATTCGGGCACAGAGCAAACTTTCCTGTGACTTGCAACAGTTGCCCTGAGGCAAACCTGCATCACAAAAACTAATAGCAAAAGAGCTTGTCTTCAAAGACTGTACACTTGCTCCTACACTGAAAGGGGGGGGGGAAGAAACCTTGTAAGACTGTGTAACAGGGACCCGAGTGACTCCTGCAAGAACAGTTATTTCTGTAAGGCAGAATAATCCATCCCACTGCAACTGTGGTCAGAAGCATGTAAATACATCATCTGGAATTTAAACAGGGCAGTGGGGTTAATACACCTCTCCTACTGTATGATCTCTTTAATGACCAAGTGGGCCAGACCTCAGTTTCACATCTCATCTGAAAGATGAATGAGACACCTTCCTTCATCCTTCTGATGTAGATACCTGCATAGAACTCAGTTTAAGGGCACCTTGCGGGGGAGACAGTATGTGCTCACTGTCTTTCTGCATGCACATTAAAGATCTGATGGCATTTTTGGACAGAGCACAGGTTGGCACAGGTGTCCTTGGCCAAAAGTTCCCTTCCTCCTCCTGATGTGAGCTAGTTTTCTGGCTGGCTGCTTCCCTGCACCCCAGAGGAGGCTGCAGTCCAGTAGTGCCACATGAGTATGGGTTGCTCAGTGCATTAAGATCTCTGGGGATGACAGGCACTATATAAATGTAAAATATTTGTCATTTTGGGTCCCATCCCACAACTTTCACTCCTACTTCATTCTGGCCAACCATCCATTAAGGATGGCAGGGTATAGCCTGTTATGACAGATTTATTATGCATAGAAAGGGGAGAGACCGTTTGTTTTTCCATAGCAGCTTTCCCATTCAAAGCATCCCAGGGCCAGATCCTCAGCTGGTGTAAATTAGGGTAGCTCCATTGACTGCTACAACGCTATGCTGATTTACACCAGCTGAGGATCTGGCCCCCAAAGGGCAGTGAGTGAACCATGGATAGTGTGTGTGTGTGTGGGGGGGGGTAGTTTGGGTCTAGTACTGCCATTTGATTTTTTTTTTTTTTAATACCTGATCCATAATTGAACATTTTTCTCTCAAGCCTAAGGGCCAAATTATGCTCGTCCTTCTGTAGATCCACAAAGAGGGATGCCAGGTACCTCCAACCCCATGCAGGAGGTAGCTATACTTGGGCTGCGGATGCTAAAAAGAGCAAAGGAGGGAGGGGCCAGCACTGCCAGGGAGGTGTATTTGGGACCATGGGCTGGCCACCCCCCCACCCCGCACACAGCAGCCAGGGGTCTCAGGGGAACAGGAAGTGAGTGTAGATTGCACCTTTCCCATGCTTTGTATTAAGTGTTCTCTGCATAGCATATTACCCCCTTCCTTCTCGTCTCATATGCGATGACCCCCTGGCTGGAGAGAAAAGTGCCATCTGTGCCATTCATCACTTCCCTGCAGAGGCAGAAGAGCCATGTGGTCCATTCTGGATCTGCCCTCTGACTGTGGGCTGGATCCCAAAGCCCAGTACGCTCAAGGGAAAGACTTCACTCCCTGAGCTCTGGGGTTACCCCTAGCCTTGCTCCAGAGAGCCTCCAGAAAGCCCTGGCCTCCCGCTCAGCCCAAACTGCCAGCACTGTATTGGGTTTTGAGCTCCGGCAAGCTGCAGTGGGGATCCTACAGACCTGGCTGCACAGTCCTAAAGGCCCAGAGATGACTATGTAGGTAAACATGGCACTAGTAAGCCGCGGATTTGTATGGGCTGATTTGCAGAGGGGCTGAGCACTCACCGTGCCCGTCAGGTCATGAGCAGATTGCTCACCCAGGACTGTGGGCACTGGCCTTGACAAAGGAGGTTGTCCCTTATTCTTTCCCCAAAAGGTACCTGGGCTCCTTAGCTTCTCCCTGGACAGTCACTAGAAACCAGCCAAAGGAAGGTTTTGATTTGAGGTCCCATCTAACATCTAGCAGTCCAGCTTTCCCCTGGGGGAGCATTTTCAGCAGAAAGTGCCTGGTGTTGGATTTCCCATTGGGAGACCCCCCCCCCCCACACACACACACATACACCAATTCTGGCAGGTGGTCAGCCCAGGCACTTTCTGAATCTTCCTCAAATTTCCTCTGGCACATCAAGGCATCTTGAAAGATACCCTGGGAGGGATAAAGAGCCCTTTGCCTTGCAGGGCACAGCTAGCTGGGAGGGAATGGAGTGCCAACAGATGTTGGTTGGCACATCCCATGCCAGCGCTCCAGGGCATAAGGGAAAGTGGGAGACTATCTGCTAACTGTCTTCTGAGAAGGTCAAACTGGGTCATGTAGATTTACACCAGCTGAGGATCTAGCCCAGTCTATCTGCTGGTGGCATCTATTAGTCTGGCTGTGGATGGAGCTGGGTGGGGAAAGTCAATGGGTCTTTTACTCCAGCCTCTGGAAGTAGCTGGCTTTGATATCCCTGGGCCGGTCCCTCCAGAGCTCTCTGCTGCCTTTTCCCCAGGGAGATCGTTACATTTCCATCCCTCCCTGGAGTGTGGCCAGGCTTAATTCATTGGGGTAAAGTGCTGGCAGATCCCCAGATGGTCCCGGGGTGTAAAATCTCTATCTGGGTAGAGATGGATGAGGGTGGAGAGGGCTGGACTGATCAATACAAGGCGAGCTGTGAGGCGGTGCGGGAAGGGTTAACCGGAGAGGAAAGAGGGGCTGGGCTAGCGCTGGCTGGAAGGGCAGGAGCCGAGTATAAAAGCAACAAGCAGCCGGAGGCATTTCATCAAACCAGCCCCAGAACATGGCTGTGCCGCTGCCCCCGGTTCTCTAATCGGCCTCCACCCCAGACGCAGCTGCCACCTGCAGCACTCCCTCGCTGGCGCCCTGCCTGGGGAGGTGGCGAGCACAGAGAAGAAGCAACAGATCCCCGTGCCCCAACCCCGGGAAGCCAGCGCCTGCTGGGTGATGCAAGAGGATACTTTGGGTGTGAGGAAGCTGCAGCTGCCACAGCCCAGCCCAGCCCCCCCAGATCGCCTCTCTCCCTCCCTCCCTGCCGAGGCAAAAAGTGACCGTGAGTTGGCAGCGAGCGATAAACAAGCGGCTCCTGGATCCCACTCATCCACGCGTGTGAGCTCGTCTCGGGGCTGAAAAAAACCCAGCCTCGGAGAGAGACACACACACACAGACCGGGCAAGTCTCCTAGCCAGTGTGTTTACAGCGCCTCCGCCTGAAACTGACCCGGCTCCCAGATCCTAGCGACTCCCAAGCCAACCCTCCGCTCCCTTCTCTCTCCGAAGCGCACCTGGAGGGGAAATCCAGCCGAGTTTTGTGTTTCTTCCTCAGCATCCATCCAGGATCCCGATGCATCCGGTGCTGTCTGCTGGGAAGCGGATTCCATGGAGTGTCTGACAGCAGATGAAGGTGGAATAAACCAAAGCCAGCCGTTCTTGTTGGTTCTTAAGCCTGTCTTGGAGGGAAGTATAAACACAGGGAACCAACCACTCTAAATATAGACAGGACCAGGTCTCTACTCATCTTGTGTATGAGAGAGAGAGAGAGAAAGCCAGAGATCTTCCCGGAGCACAGATCTCAGTCACTTTCCTTCCAGCTCTTCCAAACTTTAAGATCTATTTGAAAGCCGAGCAAAGCTCGCCCATCTTTTCCCAAAGACTCTGATTTTTGGATTGATTGTTTTTTTGGGGGTTTTTTTGCCATCGCCAGCAAAGAGAGGAAGACCGACTCTTGCTGCTGTCAATCTCTCCTTTTCTCTCTCTTTCTTCCTCAGATTTGTTTTTGTGGCTTGCCCAACAGCCACATCTATTTGTTCCCCTAATCAAAGTGCCTTTGCCACTACTTTCCAGCCTGCATCGCAGTGGCAGGAGCTTCTGTCACTGTTCTTCTTCTCTTCCTGGTGGGGATTTCCTTGTTGCTGCTTCCTGGTGTCTGGAGCAAGGGCGCCAGGCCATTATATTGTCCCCTACCTTCTCTCCAAAGCAACCACCTGTGCCCCGTCTCCTCCTGCGGAGAGGGATCGATGAGGCAGCCAAAGGGCAGAGCTGTCTGAGGTTGGGGAGAGAGAAATCTGAGCTCCCCCCAGGCCTCCCCCCACAATCGCCCTTCCCTCCCAGCTCCTCGCTAGAGGAAGGGTGTTTAGAGGGCATTTCCCATCCACCTAAATCTATGATCAGCTCGGTGTGTGTCTCATCGTACCGTGGACGCAAGTCTGGGAACAAACCACCCTCCAAAACATGCCTGAAGGAAGAGATGGCCAAAGGGGAAGAGTCGGACAAGATCACCATCAACGTAGGGGGCACCAGGCATGAGACCTACAAGAGCACGTTGCGGACGTTGCCTGGCACCCGCCTGGCTTGGTTGGCCGACCCCGATGCCCAGAGCAACTTTGACTTTGACGGCAAGAGCAATGAGTTCTTCTTTGACCGCCACCCGGGCATCTTCTCTTACGTGCTCAACTACTACCGCACGGGCAAGCTGCACTGCCCCGCCGACATCTGCGGGCCCCTCTTTGAGGAGGAGCTGACCTACTGGGGCATCGACGAGACCGACGTGGAGCCCTGCTGCTGGATGACCTACAGGCAGCACCGCGATGCCGAGGAGGCGCTGGACATCTTTGAGAGCCCCGAGCCCGGGGCAGGGGGAGAGGAGGCCGAGGAGGAAGGGGGCAGGGAGATGGCCCTCCAGCGCCTGGGCATGGACGACAGGTCGCCGGGGGCTGCTGGGGCCACAGGAGGGGGTGGATGCTGCCGCAACTGGCAGCCTAGGATGTGGGCGCTCTTCGAGGATCCCTACTCGTCCAGGGCAGCAAGGGTGAGTTTGCGAGAGACAACCCCGGGGTTGGGGGCGGGGACAGAGGGATCGGAGCAGGTGCAGGGTCATTGACATGCATTGGTTCCCCCCTCATTGATCTGCTCCCCGGGCGCATTGGTTCACCCTGTCATTCATCTACCACCCCTCCAGGGTGCCTTGGTTCACCCTGTCATTCATCTACCACCCCAACATGGGTGCCTTGGTTCACCCATTCATCTCCCCCACCCCACCTGAGCTGCATTGCAGCCCTCCCCATATTTCCCCCCTGAGAGATGCTGACTCTTCCTCCCTCCCACCACCCATGCTCCTCTTTAACTTCCTCTACTCCAATTCTCCTGCCGTGCACAGAGGGTGGTTTCACCCACCGAACGATCAGCAGCCAGCCCCCGACACACATCCCCGGCTGCCATCCCAGCCGGTGGGGACCGAGGGATTGCCAGGGAGAGTCCTTGCCAGCCCTAAGTCCTGGCAGAATTCCAGGTGGCACCAGAGGCAGGTGGATTATCCAGTTCCTCTTGTCGTTCTCGGTGGATCTACGTGCTGAAAGCGGTGTTTAATGTCACAAGGTTACAGCAGGGAGTCCAGGACTGGAGTGCTCTCACAGCCATGCCCACCGACATGGACAGACCCACAACACACCCCCACAAAGCCTGTCTCTCTCACACACACATCTGTGCACATTAAGGGGACTCATGCAAACGCACCCACCCACACCCATCTGTACATATTCAAATACATGGAACATCCCCATACAAACTCTCCTGCCTGTTCCCTCACTCCCGCAAACCATAGCGATTAACACACTGGCACAGACACACCCCCATATGCATGAACACAGACCCATCCGTGTGTACACAGCAACACAGACACACACACAGTGTCTCCCTACCCAATCCCACAGAAGTTCAGCTGCACCCATCTTCATCCTCCCCCACACCAGCATATGCCTCTCTTCACACACTCCTCCCCAAGCCCACACACTACCAACTCCTATAAACACACACACACGTGCTGCCAGGCACGTCCCCATCTACCCCTGCTCCCTCGACCGCTCCTGTTCGCACGTCCGTTCCCCTAGTCAAACCCAGTTCGTAAATACCAACAGGCTGACACACTTGGGATCTAAAAGAGTTTTTGACATTTTGGAGGTGCAAAAAGGAACAGCAACAAAAAATAGACTCTAAGCTCCAAGCCTTCTCCTGGCAGGAACCACACTCAAACCCAGAGAGTGAGATGCTCCTCGAGAGTGTTTCCTTTCAGCTAAAAGGGAAACCCAACAGACGCCAGAATAAAATGCTTAGGCAGCGACAGCCTTTCCAGAGAGACCTGTTCTAAAGAGGGAACCAAACCTCTGTCTCAGCTCGGAGGGATATCTGGCTTTGAGAGCTGCTCCAAAATAGACTCTGCTGAAAACAATTGCCTAGGAGTTTTTTGCACTGCATTTCCCTCACACTGAGCTCCTGTTTTCCCCCTGCCAGGCCGGGGTGCTGATGATGGAATCCATGCGTTTGGTATTTTTTATGACTACTTCAAGCCAGGGGGTGTGGCAGCACCAATGCTGCCAGGGAGCCCCGGGCATAGCTCATTGGGAGCAGAGGTTGAGGTCCTGGGTGCAGTGGCTGGGAGGCTATAGAGCAGCTAGGTAGACAAGTGACTATAAAAATGGCTCCTTCTTACCCTTTATAATAGGAGTCTACTTAGCATAGAGCTGCAGTGATCTTGGGTTCTTTTCTGTAATGCTTTCCTTTCCACTAGCTCACAGCATTTTGCAAAAGTTTGGGATGGCAAACGGTACTTTTTTCAGGGAAACCGAGGCACCGAGCAGTGAAATCACCTACTCCAGATCGCTCAGAGCCAGGAACAGAACGTGGGTTCCCTGATTCTCAAGTCAGTGACTGATCCCCTGGACCACAGTCTCACTGGCACAGAGTAACTAAAGAGGTAGCCATGGTGGGTGGTTAAAGGACAGGGTGTGAACTGGGGCCACATCCTCAGCTGGAATAAACAGTATCATTCCAAAAAGCCACACTGGAATTTGGGGGTGTTTAAACTGGGGCTTTGTTTCCAACCCATCTTTAGGTCTCATAGTCACCTTTACTCTGACCTACATCAGTAGCTGTAATGAAGTCAGTGGAGCTGTGCTGAGGATCCAAACCTCTTTGTAACCTGACAGGCTGGGGGCTAGAAGAGCGTTTAAACACATGCTGAAATCTGATTGGGTTCTAAAGCCCTTCTCAAGCCAGGCCTTGGTATTCCACCAGCAGGATTATAAACAAATGCTTCTGCCTACTGGACTCTGTGCTTGGAGGAGAAGGAACCGAAGAGTGTGACCAGCAGGTCCCCTCTGACATCTGTGTTGTCTTGGCAATTAATTTTGCAATCCTACGCTCTTTGTTGGGGCAGGACTTGTCAGTGCTTGGCCTGAGTCTCCTCTCCCTCACCCTGGTGTAAATCAAGAGTAACTCCATTGGATCTCATGGCATTATGCCAATGTAGTGTGAGAGGAGAATGAGGCCCACACCCCATCTATCCCATACACCATTTTACCACTGCTGAATAGGACCCATGGAGTGGAATTGCACAAATTACACTGGCGTAAGCGAGGTCAGAATTTGGCCCAAGTTGTTTTTTCAGAGGATGTAATTGACTTGGTTGGGCCAGGGAGAGCTTATGTGGTAACCAGTTTGATGTGGAGGTGACTCCCCTATAGCTATATAGGATATATAGGTACAGGGCCATACCCTCAGCATGTGTCAATCAGTGTAGCTCTATTGAAGTCTTTGCACAGTGAGTCTTGGCTCTTTATCTGACTGTGGGAACGAGAGGGGAAAGGAGAATATGTTATACCTAAGCCTCATCAGGCCACCTCCTCAGTGTGTGTAAATGAACATAGCTCTGCTGCAATCAATGGAGCTAGACTGATTTACACCCCTCATTGGGAGTAATTCCCCACTGGCTTATGCCTTGTAAAGTCTCTGACAACGGTGCAAAGTGAGTGTAAAAACTCGACCACGTCAGAATGGTGGTGTTTATGTATCATCTTTCATCCTGAAGGATCCCAAAGAGTCTTACAAAAATTTGGATTGAATTCTGCTTTACTTACACCAGTGTACATGCAAAATAAGCCCATTGAAACCCTTGGCGTTGCTCCAGATTTCTAGCAGTGTTGCTTAGAAGAATTTGGCCCTTTATAGAAAATTTGTCACCCACCACCAAGATACAGTCACCTCCAAGGTGGAGCATGGCAGCATGTAGTAACACTCCCTGAAATATGGGAGCAGGAAGCCTCCAATATCCACATGAAGTAGAAGGGAGACTTTGTCTTTGTCTTATGGTAGCACCTAGTTGCCTCGTGGTGCAAGGAACTGTACAAATACTGTACAGTAAAACAGTTCCTGCCTGTAGAGCTTATGATCTAAGCAGACAAAACAAGTAAAGGAAGGATTACTGTTCCCATTGTAAAGGAGCTGAGGTGTAGGGAAATTAAGTGATTTGCCTAAGGTCACACAGGGAGTCAGTGGCAAAGCCAGGAAGCTAGTCCAGACGTTTTGAGTTGCTGGCTAGTGCCATAGAGAGGAAGGATGGTCCAATGGTTAGAGCACTGGCAGAGGACTTGGGAGAACTGGACTGAAGACACTGCTCCGCCCCAGATTTAGCCTCTCTCTGTCTTAGTCCCCCTTCTGTACAATGAGGATAATAGCAGTGCCCAATAACAGGGCCATCTAAGTACTATAGAAGGCTAATCGTGAGGCTGTCCTTCCCTGTGTGGATCTGCTGACTCAGCCTGTCCTGGGGCTGGCATTACCCTGGTCAGGTGAAAGGGAGGGTGCGTTCCCGAAGTGACAGAGTGGCTCAGAGGCTGCTGATGTGAACTGAACCCTGAGTAAATCTAGTGCACTCCAGTGCTGGTGGGGAAGTGAATGACGCGTGGTCACAGTAGCTCGACTCACGCATCCCACCTGGCCTGCAGGCCTCCTCGCCAGCGGCCGAGCATTCAGACACCCTGAGTTTGAGAAATAGATTGCTCCCACCGAAGCTAAGCAAAAAGTAAACAGGATGGAGGGGTGGGGAATGGAGCTGATGAGAGCTACCTGTTGCCTAGCTACTGGCCCATTTCCTGCTTACTCAAGTCCTGTTTCACCAGAATCACAAAGTCCAGGGTGTCTGGACTTGGGAGCCAGCTGATGGCTTCCATCTCCCGCCCTGTTTGTGGCCCCGGTGCCCCATTTTAGCCTCTTGCAGCGCAGTGCTATTGCCACATGGTGCCAGAGTCTTGCTTGGTTACCTCTGTGCCCAGCACAGTTTTTCCATTGTTAGACTGTAGTTTAGGTCCCTAGGACTGATGCTGTGTTGCAACGGGCAGGCAGGTCTGCTGCCTGCTTTATCTCAGCCCATCCAGCCCGTGCCTCGCACGTCAAATTTATTAGATTTCACTCGTCGATGTAACCAATAATTTAGGATCAGCTGGAAAAAATTATCCTTTGGATTTCTGTCAAAACATGCCAGTGTATGAAGATCACATCTGCCCTTCTATTAGCTGCCTCTGTTGATGGCAGGGCAGAAGCCAGTTATTTAATTCATCTGGGAGCCTGATCTTTTCCTTCCCAACAGCAGTGTCTTTCTGGATGTTTTTTCTCAATGGGTGAGCATGAGATGGGCTGTGATGTTTTCCCAGGGCAGTTCAAAGGAAGCAGACTGAGGCTCCCTGATCTTGGAAGCCAGGTGGGACAAGTGCACGGCCCAGGTCCACGGTTGGAGGCATCTGTGATGCTATGTGAAATGAGGCGCCGGTGTGGCTGAGATTAGAGATAGGAGGTGACCGAGAAGGGAGCCTGATTCCCCTCTTTCTCCTCCCAGTGTAAATCAGGTGCATCTCCACTGGGCCTGATTGCTCCCTCACTAACCCCAATGTGAGTCAATTGTTACTCTACTGATGCCAATAGAGCTACACCAGTGTAAAAATAGTGCAAACGAGAGGAGACTCAGGCCCATGAGTGCTT